TCATCTCTTGAGGTCTATACTGGGATGTGTGGTCATCTCTTGAGGTCTATACTGGGATGTCTGATCATCTCTTGAGGTCTATACTGTGATGTCTGTCTGATCATCTCTTGAGGTCTATACTGGGATGTCTGTCTGGTCATCTCTTGAGGTCTATACTGGGATGTCTGGTCATCTCTTGAGGTCTATACTGGGATGTCTGGTCATCTCTTGAGGTCTATACTGTGATGTCTGGTCATCTCTTGAGGTCTATACTGGGATGTCTGTCTGGTCATCTCTTGAGGTCTATACTGGGATGTCTGTCTGGTCATCTCTTGAGGTCTATACTGGGATGTCTGGTCATCTCTTGAGGTCTATACTGGGATGTCTGTCTGGTCATCTCTTGAGGTCTATACTGGGATGTCTGGTCATCTCTTGAGGTCTATACTGGGATGTCTGGTCATCTCTTGAGGTCTATACTGGGATGTCTGGTAATTTCTTAAGGTCTATACTGGGATGTCTGCTCATCTCTTGAGGTCTATACTGGGATGTCTGGTCATCTCTTGAGGTCTATACTGGGATGTCTGGTCATCTCTTGAGGTCTATACTGGGATGTCTGGTCATCTCTTGAGGTCTATACTGGGATGTCTGTCTGATCATCTCTTGAGGTCTATACTGGGATGTCTGGTCATCTCTTGAGGTCTATACTGGGATGTCTGGTCATCTCTTGAGGTCTATACTGGGATGTCTCTCTGATCATCTCTTGAGGTCTATACTGGGATGTCTGTCTGATCATCTCTTGAGGTCTATACTGGGATGTCTGGTCATCTCTTGAGGTCTATACTGTGATGTCTGTCTGATCATCTCTTGAGGTCTATACTGGGATGTCTGGTCATCTCTTGTGGTCTATACTGTGATGTCTGGTCATCTCTTGAGGTCTATAATGGGATGTCTGTCTGGTCATCTCTTGAGGTCTATACTGGGATGTCTGTCTGGTCATCTCTTGAGGTCTATACTGGGATGTCTGGTCATCTCTTGAGGTCTATACTGGGATGTCTGGTCATCTCTTGAGGTCTATACTGGGATGTCTGGTCATCTCTTGAGGTCTATACTGGGATGTCTGGTCATCTCTTGAGGTCTATACTGTGATGTCTGTCTGGTCATCTCTTAAGGTCTATACTGGGATGTCTGTCTGGTCATTTCTTGAGGTCTATACTGGGATGTCTGTCTGGTCTTCTCTTGAGGTCTATACTGGGATGTCTGGTCATCTCTTGAGGTCTATACTGGGATGTCTGTCTGGTCATCTCTTGAGGTCTATACTGGGATGTCTTGTCATCTCTTGAGGTCTATACTGGGATGTCTGTCTGGTCATCTCTTGAGGTCTATACTGGGATGTCTGGTCATCTCTTGAGGTCTATACTGGGATGTCTGGTCATCTCTTGAGGTCTATACTGGGATGTCTGTCTGGTCATCTCTTGAGGTCTATACTGGGATGTCTGGTCATCTCTTGAGGTCTATACTGGGATGTCTGGTCATCTCTTGAGGTCTATACTGGGATGTCTGTCTGATCATCTCTTGAGGTCTATACTGGGATGTCTGGTCATCTCTTGAGGTCTATACTGTGATGTCTGTCTGATCATCTCTTGAGGTCTATACTGGGATGTCTGGTCATCTCTTGAGGTCTATACTGGGATGTCTGGTCATCTCTTGAGGTCTATACTGGGATTTCTGTCAGGTCATCTCTTGAGGTCTATACTGGGATGTCTGGCCATCTCTTGAGGTCTATACTGGGATGTCTGTCTGGTCTTTTCTTGAGGTCTATACTGGGATGTCTGGTCATCTCTTGAGGTCTATACTGGGATGTCTGGTCATCTCTTGAGGTCTATACTGGGATGTCTGGTCATCTCTTGAGGTCTATACTGGGATGTCTGGTCATCTCTTGAGGTCTATACTGGGATGTCTGGTCATCTCTTGAGGTCTATACTGGGATGTCTGTCTGGTCATCTCTTAAGGTCTATACTGGGATGTCTGGTCATCTCTTGAGGTCTATACTGGGATGTCTGGTCATCTCTTGAGGTCTTTACTGGGATGTCTGGTCATCTCTTGAGGTCTATACTGGGATGTTTGGTCATCTCTTGAGGTCTATACTGGGATGTCTGGTCATCTCTTGAGGTCTATACTGGGATGTCTGGTCTTCTCTTGAGGTATATACTGGAATTTCGGTGCATGACCTAATTGATGTCTTGACCCCATCCACCAACGCGAGTTCATAAATTAAAACCCAATCCACCCAATTCACCCGATGCACCCTCGTTTATTCGTTAACAAGATACGTAAACATTTATTTACATGGGAGATTAGATCAAACAATGGGGAGGTAATCCAAACACCTGATCGGGTAACACGTGACGAGGTGCACCTACTTGATTTAGTAGGACACACCACAGACAAGGTGTCTACGTGAGACACACCACAGACAAGGTGTCTACGCGAGACACACCACAAAGTGTCTACGTGAGACACACCACAGAAAAGTTGTCTACGTGAGACACACCACAGACAAGGTGTCTATGTGAGACACACCACAGACAAGGTGTCTACGTGAGACACCACAGACAAGGTGTCTACTTGAGACACACCACAGACAAGGTGTCTACGTGATTGAGACACACCACAGACAAGGTGTCTACTTGAGACACACCACAGACAAGGTGTCTACTTGAGACACACCACAGACAAGGTGTCTACTTGAGACACACCACAGACAAGGTGTCTACGTGAGACACACCACAGACAAGGTGTCTACTTGAGACACACCACAGACAAGGTGTCTACGTGAGACACATCACAGACAATGTGTCTACCTGACTAAGACACACCAGAGACAAGGTGTCTACGTGAGACACATCACAGACAAGGTGTCTACTTGAGACACACCGCAGACAAGGTGTCTACGTGAGACACACCACAGACAAGGTGTCTACTTGAGACACACCACAGACAAGGTGTCTACTTGAGACACACCACAGACAAGGTGTCTACGTGAGACACATCACAGACAATGTGTCTACCTGACTAAGACACACCAGAGACAAGGTGTCTACGTGAGACACATCACAGACAAGGTGTCTACGTGAGACACCACAGACAAGGTGTCTACGTGAGACACACCACAGACAAGGTGTCTACGTGAGACACACCACAGACAAGGTGTCTACTTGAGACACACCACAGACAAGGTGTCTACGTGAGACACACCACAGACAAGGTGTCTACGTGAGACACACCACAGACAAGGTGTCTATGTGAGACACACCACAGACAAGGTGTCTATGTGAGACACACCACAGACAAGGTGTCTATGTGAGACACACCACAGACAAAGTGTCTTCGTGAGACACACCACAGACAAGGTGTCTATGTGAGACACACCACAGACAAGGTGTCTACGTGAATTATCGCGTGAACTATTGTGAGAATTATCGCGTGAATTTCTCCTTTGTTTGAAGAAAAACTTATGAAAGCTGCTGATAAATTCTGCGATAATTAGAGGGTGGGGTATAGGGGAGGGTAGGGTAGGGGTGGGGTGGTTACTCGTCTTAGAAAACAATCCCTGTATCAACCTATTGTGTATCTATATGTGGTTTTCTGCCTGCCTGCCTTCCTGCCTGCCTGCCTGCCTGCCTTCCTGCCTTCCTGCCTGCCTGCCTGCCTGCCTGCCTGTCTGTCTGTCTGCCTGCCTGCCTGCCTGCCTGCCTGCCTGTCTGTCTGTCTGTCTGTCTGTCTGTCTGTCTGTCTGTCTGTCTGTCTGCCTGCCTGCCTGCCTTCCTGCCTGCCTGCCTGCCTTCCTGCCTGCCTGCCTGCCTGCCCTCCTGCCTGCCTGCCTGCCTGCCTGCCTGCCTGTCTGCCTGCCTGTCTGTCTGTCTGCCTGCCTGCCTGCCTGCCTGCCTGCCTGTCTGTCTGCCTGCCTGTCTGTCTGTCTGTCTGTCTGTCTGTCTGTCTGTCTGTCTGTCTGTCTGTCTGTCTGTCTGTCTGTCTGTCTGTCTGTCTGTCTGTCTGTCTGTCTGTCTGTCTGTCTGTCTGTCTGTCTGTCTGTCTGTCTGTCTGTCTGTCTGTCTGTCTGTCTGTCTGTCTGTCTGTCTGTCTGTCTGTCTGTCTGTCTGTCTGTCTGTCTGTCTGTCTGTCTGTCTGTCTGTCTGTCTGTCTGTCTGTCTGTCTGTCTGTCTGTCTGTCTGTCTGTCTGTCTGTCTGTCTGTCTGTCTGTCTGTCTGTCTGTCTGTCTGTCTGTCTGTCTGTCTGTCTGTCTGTCTGTCTGTCTGTCTGTCTGTCTGTCTGTCTGTCTGTCTGTCTGTCTGTCTGTCTGTCTGTCTGTCAAGGCTCTGAAATGCAGGTCTCCTAGAACTTGTCTGCACTAGATGAGTGCTGCACTCTCTGTGGCCTTGACCCAGATTCCACTCAGTCAACTTAGCGTAAGCTAACTTTAATGAGCTGTGGTGGAAGTTGAGGGGTTAGTGTGGTGGATTGTGTGGGGTTGGTGTGGTGGAAGGTGTGGGGTTGGTGTGGTGGATTGTGTGGGTTTGGTGTGGTGGATGGTGTGGGGTTGGTGTAGTGGATGGCGTGGGGTTGGTGTGTGGAAGGTGTGGGTTGGTGTGGTGGAATGTGTGGGGTTGGTGTGGTGGAATGTGTGCGGTTGGTGTGGTGGATGGCGTGGGGTTGGTGTGGTGGATGGTGTGGGGTTGGTGTGGTGGAAGGTGTGGTGGGTGGTGGTGTGATTGAAGGTGTGGGGTTGGTGTGGTGGAAGGTGTGGGGTTTGTGTGGTGGAAGGTGTGGGGTTGGTGTGGTAGAAGGTGTGGGGTTGGTCTGGTGGAAGGTGTGGGGTTGGTGTGGTGGTGGTGTGGTTGAAGGCTTTTGACGCTCACACAAACAATCAACTAGCCATCTTTAACTGTACCGTCTACACAAAGAAAGTCCCAGTCTGACAAATTAGGACTACGTTGTAAGAAAATAAAACAAACCAAGCCCTTAGCATACATTTAATGACATATCAACTTATCAACAATCAAGATTATACAGCAGGTATCTTCTCACATTCTTTAGTTGAGTAGAGCAAGTAGAGTAGCTCTGCTTCTTTTTCATTTATTATTAAAATCAAAATAGAAAATAGTTTATATCATGTTACAGTTGACATTAGGTACATCATGTCATATCACATTAAGTATGTCATGCAAGTCTACAATAAAAATGTCATGTCATGTCATGGCAACATCTGATGCTTCAATCAACATTTACCAGGTCAAGTTGACATTCATTCGATCAACATTAACATTTATATGTCATATTATGTCTACATCAAATGTGTCAGTCAAAGTTAACATAAAATAAATGAAATATGTTGTGCGTAAGACAGGATGGCTTCACAACACTGGATGGTGTGGTGGATGGTGTGGTGGATAATGTGGTGGATGTTGTGGTGGATGTTGTTGTGGAAGGTGTGGTGGGTGGATGGTACGATGGTGTAGTAGATGGTATTGATGGTGTTGGGGATGTTGTAGTTGGTGTCTTGGTGTAGAAACCCATTAGAACGAAGAAATCTTTTGTCGAAAAATGTTTTTTTTTTAAATTCACAACCGCCGGGTCGTCTGCTAGAGTGCCGTCACAAAGTTCAGAGGGTAGGTAAAGTAGAGTTGACCAATGACCTTGACCTCGGCATATTCTCATTGGCCAGTACGTAAGTAAACCGTCCTGAAGGTCGTCTAACAATAACGGTGGTATGGTGTTGCGTAGGGTACCTGAGAGTACCTGATAATATTTCAAGATACTGAATCACAAGTCGGTATCCATCGTCACAGGAATTTGCAATAAATTAGAGCTGGGATTATCTGGTATCGATGTTCTCAAGAGAGATTCAGCCAGAGGACGACATCATCTCACACACCACAGCAACAACAACAGGAGGTACAAGACAATGAGGTCACTGGGTGAGCACCGATGTCCAGCCGACCGCACGGAGGCTGTGATCTTGATGTGCACGTGCGAGGAACTGCTGATGGTCAGCTGCTCGCAGAACTCTCCGTGGAACGGTCTTCTGCACTCACACACAAACCTCTCTTCGTGAGCCACGCACGTGCCACCATGCTGACACGACACACGTGCGCAGGGGTCAGCCAGTAGTCTGTGGCACAGCAGTCCAGCGAACCCAGGGGCGCACGTGCATGTGGGTGAGTTGTCCCTGCCCACGTGACACGTGCCACCGTTCAGGCACCTGTGATTGTCACACGCGCCGGACTGGCTGACCTCGCAGAATTCCCCGGTAAATTTTTCCCCGCACCTGCACCGGAACGTGTCGCCCCTCTGGGTGCGCTCGCACGTGCCGCCGTTGTGGCACACGACAGGGGCCTTGACCTTGACCCCCGCTGTGCGACACACTGTGCTCTTGGCCACCTTCTGCTCACACAGCCTCCCAGAGAACCCGGCGACACAGCTACAGGCGAACTGACCGGAAGTTGAGTTGGTCTGACAGCTTCCGTTGTTGAGACACGGCTGACTAGAACATGGGTTGTCCTTGACTTGGATACAGTGGTCTCCTGTGAAAGGTGAAGGACATTGGCATGTAGGTCTGTTAGTCTCGGGCGACACAACGCACTTCCCGCTGTTGTAGCACTCATGACCTTGACATTGGTCCTCCGGTTGTCCGCACGCCGGACCTGCGCACTGGCTGTGTACTTGACCTTGAGTGGCGGTGACCCCAGGAACTCTCGTCTGCTCCCGGCACCTGGCTCCTGTGTACGGATATCTGCAGACGCAGCGTCTGGTACCAGCAGATATCTGGGGACAGAACCAGAGGAGGATTGGTCTCAAGGTCAGGGGGGGGGGGATACGTGATGGGTCACTGAGGCAGCAGGTCACGTGGTCAACACAGACGACGTAACTTGTCGCGTGAGTGATTACGTCACTACCAATGTGTGCAGTCAGATGTAAGTGCTAACGAGATTACCAATATATGGAGACAGATGTATGTCCCGATGGTATCGCTAAGTCATCAAGTCAACCAAGTCGGTGATTCAAGCTTGCCGACCAACCAACTGAACGTAAGAATAACCTTCACCTTGTAGAATGTTACAGATGTTGACCCCTAATTCATCCAAACACAGGCCAAAAAATGAGAAATCTAAAACTGGAAGGGGAAGTAAACAACCGCTTTGGATGGTTTACAGTAACGTCAGTTTATATCCTTTTTAGATAGTTTACAGTAACGTCGGTTTAGATGGTTTTTAGATAGTTTACAGTAACGTCGGCTAAGATGGTTTTTAGATAGTTTACAGTAACGTCAGTTTAGATGGTTTTTAGATAGTTTACAGTAAGGTCGGTTTAGACGGTTTTTAGATAGTTTACAGTAGGCACAAAAATCAGGTTTGAACCTTTAAGAAACAGCTCCGGTTAGTGACTGTCTGAAACAGCTGGAGTTAGAGACTGGGTTAAGTTCAGACAGTCACTACCTCCAACTGTTTCAGACAGTCACTACCTCCAACTGCTTCAGACAGTCACTACCTCCAACTGTTTCAGTCACTACCTCCAACTGTTTCAGTCACTACCTCCAACTGTTTCAGTCAGTCACTACCTCCAACTGTTTCAGACAGTCACTACCTCCAACTGTTTCAGACAGTCACTACCTCCAACTGTTTCAGACAGTCACTACCTCCAACTGTTTCAGACAGTCACTACCTCCAACTGTTTCAGACAGTCACTACCTCCAACTGTTTCAGACAGTCACTACCTCCAACTGTTTCAGACAGTCACTACCTCCAACTGTTTCAGACAGTCACTACCTCCAACTGTTTCAGACAGTCACTACCTCCAACTGTTTCAGTCACTACCTCCAACTGTTTCAGACAGTCACTACCTCCAACTGTTTCAGACAGTCACTACCTCCAACTGTTTCAGACAGTCACTTTAAAGTTGGTCATTATATGAACACGATGGTCATAATTAGGTCCTCTCGTGATGTGTCCTGTGTTGTGTTCTATTACCTGGCATGTCCCACGGTTGGAACAGAAGTAACCTTGACATTGCTGGAACTGGCAGTGTGAGCCGGTGTAACCCAGGGGACAGCCGCACGTGTAGTTGTTGTTGTCGTTGTCATGGTAACACGTCCCTCCGTTCTGGCACGGGTTGTGGTGCTGGCAAAATTGTTCTTCTGGTGACAAAAATAGATGAGAGAAATTGTTCTATTACAGACTAAAATAGGGGCGGAGTAGTCTAGTGGTAGAGAGCTGGACCGTCCAGTAGACCGTCCCTGAGTCCACCCAACTCTGATGGGTACCTAACGCACGTTAGGGAAAGTAAAGGCGGCTGGACATAGTGCTGACCACACTATCTCTTCATATGCCGAGGTCACAGAAACAAGTGAACTCTACTTCACTTGCCCCATAGACCGTCAGGTTTGAAGGGGAAACTTTAATTTTTTTACAGACTAAAATAGATTCTCAGGAGACAAAAATAGATTCCATTTGTCTGAGATAGGGACGACAAATGTGGTAACAACATCAGACTCTTATCAAGGACAGGCAACTACAACTTAAACATGCTCACACGCGCAGGTTTTTACTCACACATCACCTGCACATGCACTCAAGGCTACAACATTTTGACACAGACCGAAATTTGAGCGGGGGGGGGGGATTACAACTTGAATGTGAAGCCAGACTGGAATCCCCCCCCCCACCCCTTCCCACCATCCACCCACCTCAAACCCCTGCCCCACCCATCCCACCCCTCCCCCTCAACAGACCGCGGCTTCTCATTGTTTATTTGACGAGATTCTCTCTTATATTGCGCGCGTGCATTTAACGAATGTCTAAATGTAAATGCACGTGCATTTAGACTTTCACTGAGTAAACATCCTATGGGGAACTGGCAGTGAGGCACGTCCGGAGACTTCCGGCTAGTTCCGGTCTAGACAAGCAATAACAAACAAAAGATTTCATCATTTTGTATCAGTCTTGGTGTCTTATTGTGTCAATTAGAGATGTATCAAGTCTAGACGTACAAAGTCTAGACGTACCAATTAGAGATGCCCCAAGTCTAGACGTACCAATTAGAGATGCCCCAAGTCTAGACGTACCAATTAGAGATGCCCCAAGTAAAGACGTATAAAGTATAGACGTACCAATTAGAGATGCCCCAAGTAAAGACGTATAAAGTATAGACGTACCAATTAGAGATGCCCCAAGTCTAGACGTACCAATTAGAGATGCCCCAAGTCTAGACGTACCAATTAGAGATGCCCCAAGTCTAGACGTACCAATTAGAGATGCCCCAAGTAAAGACGTATAAAGTATAGACGTACCAATTAGAGATGCCCCAAGTAAAGACGTATAAAGTATAGACGTACCAATTAGAGATGCCCCAAGTAAAGACGTATAAAGTATAGACGTACCAATTAGAGATGCCCCAAGTAAAGACGTATAAAGTATAGACGTACCAATTAGAGATGCCCCAAGTAAAGACGTATAAAGTATAGAAATGATGTTAAACCAAATCATAAACGACAAGCCACCTCCCCCACTAAACCAGCCCACGCCCCACCCCATCCCGTCCCTACCACACCCCATCCCGTCCCAGCCCCACCCCATCCCGTCCCAGTCCCCCCCCATCACGTCCTCCGCCCCACCCCACCCCATCACGTCCCCGCCCTAGCTGTACTCACCCTCATCACACAGCGCCCCCGTCCAGCCGGGGTGACATAGACATTGCCCAGGCAGACGACAGGAGCCGTGCACACAGCCGGGGTGAGTCCTACACTGGCTGCACTGCTCACCGTACCATCCCTGTTTGCACGTGCATGTGTGGGGCCGGATGCACGTGCCCCCGTGCTCAAGACATCCCGGGGAACAAACAGCTGAGGAAACAAAAACAAACACAATAAAATCTGGCCACATTGTACTCACCAGCCACGTGTAACAGGAGAACCGTTTGGTTGTATGCAAGTGATATCATGGCGTGAGTGTTACATCGTGGTGCTGGTACACAGTGTGGTCAGCCACACGGTATGCACGTGAGGTCAGCCACACCGTGTGTACGTGTGGTCAGCCACACATTGTGTACGTGTGGTCAACGTGTGGTCAGCCACACGGTGTGCACGTGTGGTCAGCCACACAGTGTGTACGTGTGGTCAGCCACACGGTGTGCACGTGTGAAGATTAAGTACTCACCTTCCGTACAGCCGTCCCCCGTCCACCCAGGTAAACACAGCCTCTCCCCCAGAGCGCCACACCTGTAGTGCCCGTGGAGGTCGTCCCTGTCTCGACACAGTCTGGAGCACCTGCACATGGAGGGGGGGTGGGCAATAATTGTCAATGTCAAGGACACAATTGTAGAATGATTGTAAGCTGATTGTTGGGGTGTGGCTGTTGGTCGAGATCTTTGTGTACAAACGATGTTGGTAAAGATATTTTGTTAGATTTTTGTTAGATTTTTGTTAGATTTTTGTTAGATTTGTGACAAGCTTGTGCAGGATCTTTGTGTTGTATCTGACGAGTTAATGCTGGATCTTTATACGAGTGAGATCTTTGTAGGATCTTTAACCTGTATAAGTGAGATCTTTGCCTATGTGTAGGAAATGTGAGGGGGTGAAGTGTGAGGGGGTGAAATGTGAGGGGGTGAAATGTGAGGGGGTGAAATGTGAGGGGGTGAAATGTGAGGGGGTGAAGTGTGAAGGGGTGAAGTGTGAAGGGGTGAAATGTGAGGGGGTGAAATGTGAGAGGGTGAAATGTGAGGGGGTGAAATGTGAGGGGGTGAAGTGTGAAGGGGTGAAATGTGAGGGGGTGAAATGTGAGGGGGTGAAATGTGAGGGGTTGAAATGTGAGGGGGTGAAATGTGAGGGGGGTGAAATGTGAGGGGGGGGGTGAAATGTGACTATAGAATCCACCACACCGACTCACTCTCTGCCGTAGTAGTGCTTGCTGCAGACGACTCGAACTGCCACCACCATCGCCGCCCCCGCACTTCTGGTCACAGCATCGGATGACGTCACAAACTCTTCTTGCTGTCTCCGCGGCCGTCTGTGTGACGTCATTGGCCTGTGTCTTGACCACGCATCTTGTCGCGTCTTCCTTGGAAAACTTGACTTCCGGGGTGTCGTTTGTTTAGAATGGTTAGGGACCTTGTTCCTCACTAAAGTTGATTGCTTTGTTAATGAGTCAGCGTCTGTTAATGAGTCAGCTAACGACAGTCCGTCAATCTTGACTTCTGGACTTTCTTCTGCGGTTAATCCGGGAGTCAGTGACGCTTGGTGGCGTCGTGCGTCAGAGTCAGATAAATCGTGTGTGGAATCAGCCGAAGTGTGACTTGAGTCAGCTAGAGTGTGACTTGCGAGGGGACGTGACGCCGACGCACTGCCAGCGTCATCTGACGCCGCTAGGTGGGCGGGGTAGACAACCCAGTGTGATGAAGGAGACATGAAGTCCGCCACTACCAAGCTGGACAACTCTGAAACGATGGATGGAATATTCTAGTCACAATTGTGTTAAGTTTATCGCAGTTGTACCCCACCCTACCCCTCCTATACATTGTCTGACTGTCATCCCATCTTTAAACTTTGACTTTTGACCTATTGCAGTGGCGTAGCGAGGTCGGGTGTCACCCGGTGCTGCACTTAATGGTGCCACCCCCCCCCCCCCCCAGAGGTGTAGCGACCCTTCCCGGGGACAAACTTAACTTTTTAATTTTCGACTAACTTACTGAGCCCCAATAAAGATGGCCGTCTGACTAACGCCCTACCTAGTATGGCCATCAAGTCTGACCGACTGACATCACCCCCTCCCTCCCCCCCCCCCTAAGGCCATCAGATGAAGCAGACGTCACCTGGTAAAGGTGAGCTATATCCTACCTGTATCAGGCTGGCCCTGGCAACGTCCCACTGCCGACAGCCAAAGAGTGAACGACCCCTGGGGAAAAGTTTAAAATCGAATTTTCAATAAGTGGACATTCTTGGAAAGTATAGCATAAGAAATTTGTAATGAATTTTGGCAAGAGAAATTGGAAAACTCTAAAAAATACTCAGTCAAAATTTCAGGCCACTTCAACTAATTGAAGATCGTAATGAGGCTCCGACCATTTTAAACCCAACACCAACCGCTCACACAAACACGTGCCGTCGACATAGCGCACGAAGGCAGTGGACGGACGGCAGCTATTTCTGGTAGACGGCCATTGATTTTTTTATTTACGGAAGGGGGGGGGGGGGGGAGTCATAGTGTTGCACCCAAGTAGGGTTTATTTCAGACATTTTTTTCCGAGGGGAGGGGAGGGGGTACTTGAAACTTCCTGGGGTGGATCTAGCTTAAGTATATATAATCTATGCTTCATAAATGTAATACTTTTTCTATTTACGTTGAGGCGGACTATGTTTGCACTTTGCGGGGGTGCGGGTGGGGAGGAGTACCCCATCCCGGGGAGATGCCTGAAAGAAACCCTACACTTTGGTAAAGTGCGCTTAACTCCCAACCGTATAACCTGTACCCATTTACTCTGGGATTGTAAATAAACTATTTCAACCACCGTTATCATTCACACTTTCACGGCCGAGTGAGGGGGGGGGAAGCCAGTTTGAACACCTGCTCCCACGCACCCCCCGCCCACAAGTTTACACCTTCATATTGAACGTAAACACACGTCCATAGCTCTGGTGATGGGTTCAGCTCATTGAGCTTAGCTCAGCTCCTGTTGCCGTGTACTACACTTAGCTCGGCTCCTGTTGCCGTGTACTGAAGTACCAGATGTCAGGGCGAGAGTGCGCACTGGTTGGATATCGGTGCTAATGGTTACTCGGTGTGGGGTGTGTGAGGGTGGGGTGTGGGGGACAACATTTGTACCCGATTAAATTTTAATGGCCTGGGGTGCGGGGAGAAATGTACACGTGCGTGGAGTCATTAGGGCTGTATCGTTAAGCTCTCGTGGAGTGTTGGAGTCCATTGAAGGGCACCGAGTAGTGGGGTCACGTCTTCGGTAACATTGGGGTCCCTGTTCACATGGGGGTCTCACGTGGATTATGGGGGCTTTTAGTAACACTCGAGGTAACAGGTTGGTATTTGGTAATAAAGGGGGTAAACAATAAATAATTGTTTTCAATTTGGTAATAAAGGGGGTAAACAATAAATAATTGTTTTCAATTTGGTAATAAAGGGGGTAAACAATAAATAATTGTTGTCAATTTGGTAATATAGGGGGTAAACAATAAATAATTGTTGTCAATTTGGTAATAAAGGGGGTAAACAATAAATAATTGTTTTCAATTTGGTAATAAAGGGGGTAAACAATAAATAATTGTTTTCAATTTGGTAATAAAGGGGGTAAACAATAAATAATTGTTTTCAATTTGGTAATAAAGGGGGTAAACAATAAATAATTGTTTTCAATTTGGTAATAAAGGGGGTAAACAATAAATAATTGTTTTCAATTTGGTAATAAAGGGGGTAAACAATAAATAATTGTTTTCAATTTGGTAATAAAGGGGGTAAACAATAAATAATTGTTTTCAATTTGGTAATAAAGGGGGTAAACAATAAATAATTGTTGTCAATTTGGTAATAAAGGGGGTAAACAATAAATAATTGTTTTCAATTTGGTAATAAAGGGGGTAAACAATAAATAATTGTTTTCAATTTGGTAATAAAGGGGGTAAACAATAAATAATTGTTTTCAATTTGGTAATAAAGGGGGTAAACAATAAATAATTGTTTTCAATTTGGTAATAAAGGGGGTACATCTCTTTTTGCGGACTTTTTTTTTTGCCGATAACTTTTTCTATACTAGAACTTTTAAGATGTTATATTTAGCTAGACAACCCACGATAACCCTCGCTCACACACATCTAGCCTCACGACTCACGACAACCCAGAACACGCCAGGACAACCCACGACAACCGACGACAACCCAGACAACCCACCTCACCCCACACATACAAACATCTGTGCTCGATCCTACCGCTATCCCAGGATCGGCCCTACCTACCGCACGGTGAGATTGGTTCAACAGACTCAACTCAAGGTCACCAAAGTCAAGGTCACCAAACTCACGGTCACCAAAGTCAAGGTCACCAAACATCGAGAAAAATGTATACTGTTGTGCTGACTATGAACAAACACGGGCATCACGTGATCAGGACACACCTCTTTAAAAAATTCATGACGTCACAATCACCGTCTTTAACATTTTATCCACGTCACAAGATGGCCGCCGGTATTAACGTCCGTGGATATCATCGCGCATGTCATCTCACGCATGTAAAGGTCAGCAGGTCACACATGTCAAGGTTAAAGGGTCACCATCTCATGTATGTTTGCCAGTATTTAAACCTGGCTATCGCGACGTACAAGGTAAACAACGCCGACATGATATCAACAGTGGATACAGTGGATACAGTGGATACAGTGGATACAGTGGATACAGTGGATACAGTGGATACAATTGATACAGTTGATACAGTGGATACAGTTGATACAGTGGATACAGTGGATACAGTGGATACAGTGGATACAGTGGATACAGTGGATACAGTGGATACAGTGGATACAGTGGATACAGTGGATACAGTGGATACAGTGGATACAGTGGATACAGTGGATACAGTGGATACAGTGGATACAGTGGATACAGTGGTACACATTGGCGTCAACTGATGGACCAAATGGGACCCTATTACCGCTGGGGTATGCTACATTTCCTATACACTACAAGACTATGTTTAGAGCAAGTTTATAAAAGATGGTTGTCTTGTCTACGGTATACACTACAAGACTATGTTTAGAGCAAGTTTATAAAAGATGGTTGTCTTGTCTACGGTATACACTACAAGACTATGTTTAGAGCAAGTTTATAAAAGATGGTTGTCTTGTCTACGGTATACACTACAAGACTATGTTTAGAGCAAGTTTATAAAAGATGGTTGTCTTGTCTACGGTATACACTACAAGACTATGTTTAGAGCAAGTTTATAAAAGATGGTTGTCTTGTCTACGGTATACACTACAAGACTATGTTTAGAGCAAGTTTATAAAAGATGGTTGTCTTGTCTACGGTATACACTACAAGACTATGTTTAGAGCAAGTTTATAAAAGATGGTTGTCTTGTCTACGGTATACACTACAAGACTATGTTTAGAGCAAGTTTATAAAAGATGGTTGTCTTGTCTACGGTATACACTACAAGACTATGTTTAGAGCAAGTTTATAAAAGATGGTTGTCTTGTCTACGGTATACACTACAAGACTATGTTTAGAGCAAGTTTATAAAAGATGGTTGTCTTGTCTACGGTATACACTACAAGACTATGTTTAGAGCAAGTTTATAAAAGATGGTTGTCTTGTCTACGGTATACACTACAAGACTATGTTTAGAGCAAGTTTATAAAAGATGGTTGTCTTGTCTACGGTATACACTACAAGACTATGTTTAGAGCAAGTTTATAAAAGATGGTTGTCTTGTCTACGGTATACACTACAAGACTATGTTTAGAGCAAGTTATTAAAAGATGGTTGTCTTGTCTACGGTATACACTACAAGACTATGTTTAGAGCAAGTTTATAAAAGATGGTTGTCTTGTCTACGGTATACACTACAAGACTATGTTTAGAGCAAGTTTATAAAAGATGGTTGTCTTGTCTACGGTATACACTACAAGACTATGTTTAGAGCAAGTTTATAAAAGATGGTTGTCTTGTCTACGGTATACACTACAAGACTATGTTTAGAGCAAGTTTATAAAAGATGGTTGTCTTGTCTACGGTATACACTACAAGACTATGTTTAGAGCAAGTTTACAAAAGATGGTTGTCTTGTCTACGGTATACACTACAAGACTATGTTTAGAGCAAGTTTATAAAAGATGGTTGTCTTGTCTACGGTATACACTACAAGACTATGTTTAGAGCAAGTTTATAAAAGATGGTTGTCTTGTCTACGGTATACACTACAAGACTATGTTTAGAGCAAGTTTATAAAAGATGGTTGTCTTGTCTACGGTATACACTACAAGACTATGTTTAGAGCAAGTTTATAAAAGATGGTTGTCTTGTCTACGGTATACACTACAAGACTATGTTTAGAGCAAGTTTATAAAAGATGGTTGTCTTGTCTACGGTATACACTACAAGACTATGTTTAGAGCAAGTTTATAAAAGATGGTTGTCTTGTCTACGGTATACACTACAAGACTATGTTTAGAGCAAGTTTATAAAAGATGGTTGTCTTGTCTACGGTATACACTACAAGACTATGTTTAGAGCAAGTTTATAAAAGATGGTTGTCTTGTCTACGGTATACACTACAAGACTATGTTTAGAGCAAGTTTATAAAAGATGGTTGTCTTGTCTACGGTATACACTACAAGACTATGTTTAGAGCAAGTTTATAAAAGATGGTTGTCTTGTCTACGGTATACACTACAAGACTATGTTTAGAGCAAGTTTATAAAAGATGGTTGTCTTGTCTACGGTATACACTACAAGACTATGTTTAGAGCAAGTTTATAAAAGATGGTTGTCTTGTCTACGGTATACACTACAAGACTATGTTTAGAGCAAGTTTATAAAAGATGGTTGTCTTGTCTACGGTATACACTACAAGACTATGTTTAGAGCAAGTTTATAAAAGATGGTTGTCTTGTCTACGGTATACACTACAAGACTATGTTTAGAGCAAGTTTATAAAAGATGGTTGTCTTGTCTACGGTATACACTACAAGACTATGTTTAGAGCAAGTTTATAAAAGATGGTTGTCTTGTCTACGGTATACACTACAAGACTATGTTTAGAGCAAGTTTATAAAAGATGGTTGTCTTGTCTACGGTATACACTACAAGACTATGTTTAGAGCAAGTTTATAAAAGATGGTTGTCTTGTCTACGGTATACACTACAAGACTATGTTTAGAGCAAGTTTATAAA